TTTTTGACGACGATAATTGTTTTGTGCACATGGTAAACATGAATTTAAATGATTTTTAATATCTGCTATCATTGTTGGCCAATAATAACGTTCTTGTATTTTTCTTATTGTTTTGTCACGTCCAAAATGAGCTCCATTAGCGGGTGTATCATGATAAATTTTTAATATATCAGCACGTAATCGTCCAATTGGAACGTATGGCACAGGTGAAAGTGGTAGTTGTTGTTTTTTAAATAATATTCCATCTTCAATAAAATAATGTTTTTTATTCTTAATATTCTTTTTTATTTCTTGAGTTGTTTTGTCTTCTTCTTGAAGTTTTCTTAAATCATCCATATCAAATGGGATGATCTTATTTGGATTTTTTTCTGATGGTTTGATTATCAGTTCTTCATCAGTCGCTACTTTCCCTTGTGGGATGAGCTCATTAATTTTTCTATCTGTCAGTTTAATAGATGGTGTAGCCATTGCTTGTTGTTGTAATTTGGCTTGAGCTCTAGTAATTGCTGTTGTCATTTTTAATGGAGTTAAATTATTATCTAATGATAAAAATGATAAATCTGTTTGTGTTGCTGTTGATTCATATTGAATTCGTTCTTCAATATCTTCTTCAGCTACTTCGACTGGTGATCTTGAAAGGTAATCTGCCATATGATTTTTCTTGCCTTGGATATGTTTCACTTTAAATCGATATTCAGCTAATTTTAATCGCCATCGTTCACATCTTTTATTTAATTGTTCTTTATTTGTAAAATGAATTAATGGTTCATGGTCAGTTTCTAATATAAATTCATGTCCACGAAGATATTTATCCCATTTTTCTATTGCTTGTACTATTGCATAACATTCCTGTTCGATTGTTGACCACTTAGTTTGTGCTTTTGTTAATTTCTTTGACATATATGCTAATGGTCGATCACCATTGGGAGTAATTTGTAATAGAACAGCACCAATTCCATCTATAGAAGCATCAGTTTGTAATTTAAATTGTAATGTATCATCAGGTAAATCGAGAATAAGGTCGGTTGTTAATATTTTCTTTAGTTGGTGGAATGCTGTTCTAGCTTCAGCAGATAATTCAAATTTTAATTTTTTTTTAATCTTCTGTTGTTGTAATGTTGCTGGAGAATATTGATGTAATGGTGCAGCAATGGTGGAGAATTTTGGAATGAATTTTCTATAATATTCTGCTGCTTTGACGAATCTAAATGCTTCTTCAGCTGATGTTGGTTCTCGTGTATCAGTCAAACCACGGATGTTGTTCGGATCGGGTTTAATAGTACCAGCTTTAATTAAATGTCCAAGAAATAATATTTCTGTTCTTGCAACTTCGCATTTGTCGACATTTAATTTAAAATTTGCTTCCTGTAATAATGAACATACTTCTTCAATATGTTTTAAATGTTCGTTAAAATTTTGTGAGTAAATAATAATATCATCGATATAGGCGAGTACATGTTTCCACCTGTTTGGACCTAATATTTGATTGACAATACGTTGAAACGTCGGTGGTCCATTAGTAAGGCCTTGTGGTAATACTTTAAATTGAAAATGTCCATCTCGAGTTGAAAATGCTGTTTTTGGTCGATCTAATTTGTCTAATGGTACTTGAAAATATCCAGCTTTAAAATCAAATTTTGTAAAATGTGTTGCTTTTGTTAATTGGTCATAAATATCATCAATTCTTGGTAGAGGAAAAGCATCTTTTGTTGTAATTTGATTCAAACGACGATAATCGACACAAAATCTTGTTGTTCCATCTTTCTTTTTCACCAAAACGACAGGTGAAGACCATGGTGATGTTGAATGTTCAATAATTCCATTTTTTAATAATTTATCTGTTTCTTTTCTTAAAGTTTCCTGATCTTTGTTTGATTTTCTATATGGTGGAGTATGAATAGGACGGTGTGTACCAGTATCAATAGCATTTTTTAAAATTATATCAATTTTCGATGGTTCAATAATATCAAATAATTTTCCATACTTCCATAAAATTTTTAAAATTTGTTCTCGCTGTTTATCATCAGTAATATGTTCAGTTAATTTGTTTATTTGCTGTCTTATTTCTTCAGGGTAACATTTGTTTCTAAGATGTTTGAATAATTCATTGCCAGTATTAAACTGTTGATAACATTTACGACATTGATGTTGTTTTTCGTACCATGTTGTGGTCGGCATATTCTCGGAATTTAATTTATCCGATTTATTCGCTTCTTTCCCTTTAGGAATGAGCAATTTATACGCGTTTCCTTTCGGAATGCGTTCTTTTAAATAATCTGATGATACGGTAACACCAACTGTAGAAGATAATTGTGTCACTATGCCTAATTTCGTTCCTTCGGAAAGTGTTTGTTGCCGGTTCGTTGCATTAATGATGCTAATCCTTATTCTTCTATTTTTAATATTGAGTAATGCACTTGCAGTAAATAATGCTTTATTTTTTAATCGAGGATTTGGTTCGAATAATACATCTATCGTATTGTTATGTTGAACTTGTGCTTCTGCTATTTTTTCTGAAAAAGGAGGAAGAGTAATATGATTAATAAGAGTAGCTGGATAATTTAAAAGAGGTGGTTTTACAAAAGGAGTTGATACTTCTTTACCTCGACTTCGGATCATAATTCGTTGTTCAGGTGTAAGAATATAAACATTATTTGATTGAATCCAATCACTACCTAATATTAAATTCGTAACAAGATTTGTTGTAACATCGGCAATAATTGTTGTCTTTATTCCATTAACATTAATTTCTAAAGGTATTTCACCAATGATATTTAATGTTGAGCAATTTGCAGATAAATGATTTATTGTTTTTGGTATTAATTTTCCATGTGGTATATCATTTAATAAACATTGATGTATAATAGTGATGGCCGATCCAGTATCAATAAGCGCTTCTTGTGGAGTATTGTTGCATAAAATTTTAACAAAAATTGGATTAAATGTGTTGTTGGTTGATGACTTTTTGGCTCCACAGGGATCGTCGCCATCATCCGATCCCTTTATTCGAAAAAATGTTGTTGAGGACAATCACGTATTTGATGATTCGATTGTCCACATTTAAAACAACCATTGTTCTTCTTATAAAAACATCTTGTTGTTGCATGATTGTTTTTATTGCAAATTAAACATGTATCGGATTTTTGTATTTTAATTTCTGGATAATTTTTTCGATTTTGTTTAAGATTTGAAAAATCATTTTGTTTTGAATATGTGCGATTTATTGTTGATGATGGTTGTTGTTGATGTTGTTGTTTGTAGTAATGACGTGATGTAAAGGGCTGTCGACTTGACAATTGAAAATTCGATGGTGTTGGTTGAACTGTTGCAGTTGGTAATACGTGTTCAAAAAATGTTCTATTTTTTGTTCCAGTATGTAACCCATCACGTTGTTGTTGAATTCGTTTTTGTATATATTCTTCTTCTTTTGCTAATTGCAACCATTCTTCTGGTTTTTTAATTTCTTTTTCATTACGAATTAAATGTTCTTTTAATGAATTTTTAACACCATTCTGTAATACCGTAATAACTTGTTGTTCCGTAATAAATTGTTGCGATTTCCTATATTTTCGGATAACATTTTCATAAAATGATATAACCGATTGGTTTTCTTCTTGATGAATATTAAAAAATTCTTGCATTAATTGATTGTCGGATGTAAATTCTTTAAATCGATCTCGTAATGCTTTTTCAGTATCATTCCAATTGATGAATGATCTCAAATTTTCTTGATACCATCGTAATGCTGGTCCTGTTAATTTGCCCATAGTTTCAATAATTTTCGTTTCATCTTTTAATTTCATTAATGAGAATAAATTATTTAAATAGAAAATCCATTCATCAATATCGATTTCATCAGCTTCTCCTGAAAATTCAGCTATTTTCTTCATTACTTCTTTTTGACTTGAATAAATTTGTCGAACTTCCATCGGAGTTGTTTCCATTTCTTGCATGAATGACATATTGTTTTGTTTTTTATTTCTTATTCGTGTTGGTGAATTAGTAATTAATTCATATGATAAAATATTTACTCCACTTTTTTTAATCGCTTTTCTTGTACCGGTAGCCGTTGTTAGATATATATGTATATATTTGCACTTAAAGGAAGGACAAAAAATTTGAACTTTATATATAAGAAAGATACCTCCTTATGATAATTAAATTTTGAAATTAATTTGTATGTTAATATGTAATTTTTCTCTTTCCCAAAAGGATGAGATAGTATTTCCCTCTTTCCGTTACGGATGAGTGAATTTATTAACCAGTTCGTTCTTCTTCGATGTAGTAAATAGAAGAAGATGGGTCACGGCACCAAATTGTTAGCTCGTTTTACGAGCTGATGTTTATTTATTTCGAAAATAAGTCGGACTGACTAAAATGTCCTTAACAACACGTACATATATATATAAACATACAATAGGAGAAGAGAAAAAGAAGAAGAAAGGAATAACAATTACAAAGAGAGAGAGAGAGAGAGAGAGAGAGAGAGAGCACGGACCATGATAGGTATGAGTCACCGTTAACAACTTTATACTCATAATTTCCTCATTGTCACATCATACCTGCAGGCACTATTCAAAATATGAAATAAATTATTGTGAGTAACAACTCTAACTTTCTAAAAGGATTCTTGGATGAATACGTTTAAATTTTTACAAGTTATCGGTTCAATGAGTTCTTAACATGGACGTATGAGATGAGCAAAATCCTTCAAATTTTACAACCAGATCAGGCATATTTATACAGAAACCTCATTTAAAACTTTTGAAATTTTAACAGCATTTTATAGGCATGTTTTAATGCGTGTAAACATTATTTTCACTAGTTTTATATCGAAGAAAATTTATCAAATGAGTCGAACTTATGTCTAGGAGAGCTTTCATGAGGGGTTAAGCTACGAAAGCAACCTAGTTATTGTATATATTCAAATACGTGTCATGAAAAACAATGACCACTTTTTGTCAAATCCATGATAATTCGTTTGAGTATAGAATTCACTTGTGAATCATACATTCTTCGATGTAGAGAACCTTAAGTCCTATTGAATGATATATGACTCGTGTGAATACAGTTGTTTTATTCATAATCAGTTAAATTCAGAAAAACTTACCAAATAGATATTAGATTACAATGATGACTAAGATTTGTTTATATAATACTTGAACATTTTTTTCCTTGAATGACACGTTGATCATCACTCATATTTGAATTACATTGTTTCTTACATTAGCATTACGAAATTTTTCAAAAAAAGAAAACAACATGATCACATTTTAAAGGTTCAACTAACAGAATCGATCATTAGTATACAACTATTTATTTTTTTTTTGTTTCCAATGTAAACTTCTAAGTTCGATCAAACAGGTAAAAACACTAATGTTGAATAAGTTTCGAAGCGATATTCAAGAATTCAAAGTCGTCTTGTGTACATTTCTGAATGTGAGAAATTTTCAATATGTCTGGAAGAATGTTCTGAACGTTAGTGTATTAGAGATATCTCGCAGTGCCATCATTTTTAACTATGGTTACGGTATGATACGAAAAACAGTGATGATTTATGTTCTAAAAAGAATGAATCTCCATCTGATTATGTGAAATTAACTGTTTTCTAAATTTCTAAAGTATTTAGAGATCTTATTCATAAGATGCAGAGTTCTATAAAGATGAAACTTAGAATCGCTTTTGTATAACTTATGAATGATTTTATGTACTAAGAAAATTGACCAACTTTTCCGTATGAGAAATGTCAAATATTTCAGTTTTTTGTTTTGATCAGACTGTTTAGACTCTGCCACATTTAATTACTCAGATTTAGATAAAGAATAGCAACTTTTCATATCAAAAATTCAGATGCTAGATCCAATAAGATGTTACCACAAGATTAATTAAGATCATTCAGTATTATTGAAAGACTTAAACGGACATCTTGCAACAACTAGAAGATACGAAACGTTAAGTTAGATACTACAAATCTTCCACGAGAGTCCAAAATCATCTACAAAAACCTGTCCGAAAATGCATATCTTTCGAATTGGTTCAATTGATTCGAATTTACCAAAATTTCTAAAACTGTTCCCAGTTATTCACATTATATGTAGAATATACGCATAACGTTTAAGACAAATGTATAAAATACTACAAAACGATACATAGAAATATAGAGAAAAGAAAAAAAATGATCATACGTCAAAAGATCAACATGGTACTTAAAATGTGCCATCTGATAAAACTGTATAGTTGGTTATGAGCATCAGTTAGACAAGATGTGAGGATAAGTTTATCAATATAATGGCAAAAGTGGAAGCACAAAATAGACTACTTTACAAATATCAGTAAATGGATATAATCATATGAATGCCAGTTTATGAATATAAACAATAGAAGGATATAGTGAGAAGATATAAGATATAGCATGAAGGTTATAGCTTTTATCATGTAGTCTTTAGTACATAGATCTCAGGTTTGAGTTCAAGAGATTTTATTTACATGTGTAAGTAAAGACATAATGATTTGAATATGTTGAGGTACGCAACGTCGGATTCAAATATTGATTTTATGTACATATTCATTATCTAGTAAACTTTTACTGGACTAGATCCTTGAGTCTCTGAAAAAGAACAGAATCGTAAGCTGTATAAATTTTTGTACGCATGTCCCGAAATATAATGAAACAAAATAGTACGATCTTGTATGTTCATATAAGACCACACTATTAAATCTTCTACATAGCTTAATGTAAATTCTGATGTAAGATTGTACAGATAACGATTTCCATATGGTTTTTCAAATGAATTTTGTATGGATCCGTATGATTGTGGAGTCACAGATTATACAGATTATATGAACTTACAAGATCATACGACAACTAGTACCAAAAATTTGTGTAAGCCGACATAGCTAAATTCATGTTCGTTAACTGAAGTAACTGATTTTCTTCAGTCTATACTTCAGATATATGCATTAACATTTATCCATTAAATCTCTGTTCTTAGAAGTTACATCTGTATCACTATACCCATATGTATTCATTTTTGCATCGTTACTCAATGTTCCTCATATTCGATCATTCAGTTGTATATAATTATACTAATGTGTTTCGCTATAAAGAGTTACATATTTATATTTAAATTAATGCAAAATGATTCTTCAGAAGTTTATTTCTCTGTGTACAACCTTATGCTTTTATTTAAAGAGATACATATATGCTATTGGAATCAAACAAAGGAGGGGGTTGTTAAGCGATGAAATCGGCCCCCTCTCGAAATTAAGCTTTTCACTTTTGAAATAGTCAATTGAGATGTAAAAAGACGATTAACGTTCGAATCAGTGAAGTACCCTTGGTTATAGCTGTCACGCGTGATATAAAATAATGATATTCTCTATCGCCTGGGCAGTTGCGATCTGTTTTGTTTCTACGACGTATATTGTCGCTATTGTCAATATGCTTTAATTTAAATTATATACCAAATAAAGGCTTATTCTTTCCGCTATTGAATGACATAAAAATGTATGACAAAATATTCTCCTATCATTATTTTCTTGAGATGACCTTGTTCACTACTATGAGCCATTTATGGGTATTTATGAGAAAATCTCATTTTATGACATGTGGGTGGGTGTGGGTGTGGGTGTGGGTGTGGGTGTGGGTGTGGGTATGGGTGTGGGTTGGGTGTGGATGTGGGGGGGTGTGCGGGTGGGTGTGGGTGTGGGTACG